TTTAGCCTGTAAAAGCACAGGCTCAGGGGTGATCTGATGGCCACCTATAAATTTATCGGGGTGACCACCAGGATCTGGGGGAACGTTTGTTCACCAGAGCGCCCCAAAGGATGACGAGGTCGAACAGTTATAAACTACTGCAAGACCGTTTCAGGCTGGACATAAGGAAGAATTTCTTTACTGTCTGAGCCCCCAAGATCTGGAATAGCCTGCCATTGGAGGTGGTTCAAGCACCTACATTGAACACCTTCAAGAGTAAATTGGATGACCCCAGCTGACTTCCTGCCCTTTGGGCAGGGGGCTGGACTCAATGATCTTCCAAGGGCCCTTCCAGCCCTAATGTCTATGAAATCTATTCATGAGCTGATCCTGGCACAGTCAGACCCTGGGCCACTTATCTAACAATAGTGCAACTTGGATTAAATGACAAGAGTCAGCTGCAGTTATATTACCCTGCGGTTTCTGTTTCTTCCCCCTCGGGTTTTGCCCTTGTTTTCTCATTATTTTGTATCATCTGATATCTGTGATGTGTTGTAAAGAAAAGGAAGAATCTAGCTGTTTGCCATATCTGTCCAAAGATGAGATATGGAAATTTGGCTCTTTTCCTACAGTAAAATTAGAGCCTTGTATGGGAGCAGAGCCTACATATTTGGGCAAATAGAATAACTACAGCAGTCTATTCCAGCTGTTCAGAAATCTTTTCATTTTCTCTCCTGCTCATTATTCAGGAAAATTACCCACTGTGCTTTCCCCAACTGTGAATTACCCTTCAGATTATGTAGGGAATACTCCTGCTTCCAGGAGGTGAAGGTCTTAGTTCTTCATCTGTGTACTCAGGGCCTAATCCAGAAAACATCAACTTGCTGCTAGACATAGCCAGTAATAGTTTCACTGGAAGACTGAGGAGGACCCTGTAGCTGTCCATCTCTTGTGTTGTTAATTTGGCACCTTCCACAAGCACCTAGAAATTAAAGTTCTCTGATGCATAGCTCATGTAGTGGCCCCAGCAGGCTTCCTCACATAGGTGAGAGTGTGTTAATATCTGAAAGGATCACTTCTAGCATAGTTCCTTTGCCATGGTTGTTATGCTCTTAAGGTCTCTGAGACTAAGTGCTACTTAAGTGATAGTTCTTTGTCCTGGACACCTGTTGATAAGGAACTGAGCTAACACCACAAATGAACTTGGCTAAAGCCAATCAATTGCTGTTAGGTGCTAAATTCCAGTTACTACCAGTCATATGGTCACTTTCCCTGAAAGAAGTTTGTTCCTAAAATATCACAAATTTGCACTGAACAGGAAAACACTCAGATTACTATGGTTACCGACTTCATGATAATGCAGCGTTGGATACAGATTCATTGTAGCCTTAGTCATATATTCTTTCAGAAAAACACAGATCCCAAGTTTACAGTATACATTGCAGCCTTGCATTTAATTGCATTTCCCATAAAACCTAGCACTGTCTCTCTTCCTTTTACGGTTTACATGGCATACTAATTTTCATTCTCTAAATCCATTTTTTAAACATTTTTATAACTTGATAAGCAGCTTTTCTTGGAATAGATAACATGGTGTTTAGTACAAAAGTTTGAATGACTTGTGTAGGCATGACGTTTTAACACACTTTTTTGAGGGATGTATATGCATTATTATGGATATGTTCTGTTTATTCTCTATGTGGGTAATGACAACATAAGGATACTAAATTATGAAGTAGTAATGTAGGATTTGATCTTGATAATTAAAGGAAGTAATCTGCTGATGTGAATACAAATTTATGCCTTCTCTCCTTTTTCAAGTTGTCTGTGTCCAGTTAACTTTTCTGAAAATGAGATGTTGTGAATTGTAACTGTGAAATCTATCTTTTTTTTAGTGAAATGAAGATCCAAAAGGACCAGAAGCCACAGATGCAGTATACCAAGAATAAACTTGATAGCAATTACCTTTGCTTTTTAAAACTGCAAAAGCTGTTCTGTAATGAATGGACTGTCTTTCCCACTCACTCTCTGTGTTCGTGTCAAGTGTCCTTTGAATGTGCATGCAAGATACTAAATGTATGAAAATTGGCAGGAGATAGCATTTCAGTGTATTAGAGCTCATTAGGAAAGCTTTCATGCATCTAGCATAACTGTGTCCAATACGCATTGTATCATCTTCTAATGGTGCTATTAAAAGGTCATTATACAGTCTGTGTTCTGGGTTAGTTGTTGGTTGCAGATGTTCATCCTTTTTTTTTGTCTTGCTCATTGCTAATTAGTGTTTCTTTCACCCTCCTCCCACAAGCAACCCACCCCCTTTTATTATTTTCCTCCATTTTTCCACATAAAATAATGAGAGAGAAGGCTTATGATGTCTTTAATAATGCATGGGCAACTGAAGGCAAGGATCTGTGCATTTTAACTGCCAGCATAGACTCAAGTTGTTGGGAAATTTAGGTGATCAGATGGATTTAGATACTCAGATATTGTCTAACAACTCATCTTCTACGATTAAATATTTACATGTCCTGTTGATGGTGGAACAGGGGTGAAGGAAGAGCATATTGAAAAAGGGAGGAGAACACAGGTTCTTGTTCTTGGAGCTTGGCTTTGCTAACTTGCTGAGAGAGTAAATTCTGTGAGTGGATAAGGGCTGCATAAATTTTGTTCCCAATGGCACTGATGACATTGCTCTCTCTCAGTAAGAGCTGAAGTACACTGTTTAGCCCTATTACCCATTCTTTATAGGAGGTAAAATAGAGAAGATCCTTGGTCATGGTAGATTCTGGACCATGGTGCTCATTTCAACATGTTGCTGCCATGCCTGCACAAGGAGCCTCAGCGAAACTGTGTGGTATGGCATGTAGGAGCATACACCCCTCTGTCATCTAGAGTTCTGGTTCCTTTATCTGTGGTAATGAGCAAGAATGGCTGCAGCCCCATTTTCAGATTCCTCCCTCTCCCCAGCATTGGGCAGGCAGACCATGCCATGAGAGCAGCACCTGGGGATGGTTTAAATGTATTCAAATCAAATAGGAATTTGCCCCCCCACCCCAGTACCTCTTCCCTTCCCTCCATGCTCATGGGCACTTTCTCTCCCCTTCATGCCAAATCATTACATGCAGGGGTAGCAGTGGACATAGTCTTCCTGGACTTCTGGAAGGCTTTCGACACTGTCTCTCACCCCGTTCTCATTAAGAAAATGGGGGACTCTGGTGTCGACACCCACACAGTCAAATGGTTCGCCAACTGGCTGGAGGGCCGCACCCAGAGAGTGGTGGTGGATGGGTCCTTCTCAACCTGGAAAGATGTGGGCAGTGGGGTTCTGCAGGGCTCGGTCCTTGGGCCTGCACTGTTCAACATCTTCATCAGTGACTTGGACGAGGGGGTAAAAAGTACCCTGTTCAAATTTGCTGATGACACTAAGATGTGGGGGGATGTGGGCACACTAGAAGGATGCAATAGGCTACAATCGGACCTAGACAGGTTACAAGGGTGGGCGGATGAGAATAGAATGGGATTCAGCACTGACAAGTGCAAAGTGATGCACCTGGGGAGGAACAACCGGCACCATACCTACAGGTTGGGGAACTCCCCTCTTGTCGGCACAGAGGCGGAAAAGGATCTTGGAGTCATCATTGACTCCAAGATGAACATGGGCCGGCAGTGTGGGGATGCAGTCAGGAAAGCCAACCGTACCTTGTCGTGCACCCACAGATGCATCTCGAGCAGGTCCAA